CTACTACTACTACTACTTAGTAGGCTTTGCTGCTATGCAGTTAAATTAATGTGGTGGGCTTATTCTTTTCTGAAGTCTAGTTTTAAGAATAGTGGAAGTTACACTTTTTTTCTTCCTCCATTTCTGGCGCCCCCTGGATGTACGGCGCCCTTAGCATTTGCCTATACTGCCTATGCCACGGACCGGCCCTGCACTGGACCAACCTTCTGATAGAATACATCACACTAGGGAAAATGACCTTCACTCACAAGAATAGTTTATCAGCTTTTTATGACACATGGAACCCATTTCTAACATTTCAACTTGAACCAAACACCTGGGGCTGAGGCCACACACATTCCCACCGACCTCTAAAAATTTAACAAGCTGATTTCATTAGTAGTACTCTTATTATTATTATTGTAAAAAACATTATCCTCCTTCCTTTCTTGTATTTCATAGACTGCATAAGTTGGAAATACCCGCACTTCACACCCTCTGTTATGATTTAGTCCCCCTCACCAGGAGGGTGAGGGAGAACTGAGGCAGGACTCAAGATTGCTGACCCAGGTGCTAGTAAAAAAAAAGGTGGTTTTAATGGTGGGAAACAAGAAAAAAAAGGAATACATACAACCAGGGCTGAGCAAATACGGCTAGGGAGAACAGGATGACCAGGGGGAGTAAACAGGCTAACGGCAAAAAAAAAAAAAAGTAGTGATGACGAGGACGGACAGGTGAAAAAACAAACTACCCAGGAGGATTAGCTAACGAAAAATGAATTCCACAGCCCAGGAACTGTCAGCGTGGAAAACAAAATGAGTACAATACATACCACGAACAAAGGTCTGTCAACGGTGTATGCACGTTAATACACGAGAGTCACAAGCTGGGGCTAGTATGTCACCTGGATCCCGGACAATTATGCTACGGGATGCCGTATCCTAAAGTGTACTCGAATGCAACATGACGCTCCAAAAGTGTTTCTGCATAAAGTATTGCGAGTGAAGGCTCAGCCCACATGCGCAAATCCTCCCCTGACTCTTCCAGTACGCATCTCGCACATTTAAACACCTGTGATAAAAGTTAGTCCGGACTGTCTGTTGAGAGCACCAGTTTAATTAGTTATGGGCGACTCTGGTAAAACACCTGTTAAGGGCGCTGAAGGAGTGAGGAAAGATTTAAGAGCAAGAGAAGGGGCTTCTTTTGCTCCGTGCGCAGGTGAAGACTGGGGCTCTTGCTTGAAGAGGATGCGGAGCGTCAGCTGCATCCCGTCTGAGTATCGGAATGAGCTGGTACAACTTTTGAAACTAGCGGGACCAGTGGTAAGACAGTTTCCTGAGTCCAAGCCGACTGCACTGTACCTTGAGAATTACCTATGTGCAGTATTTCTAGCGTGATATCCTCATTAATTATATAATTACGATATTAGCTTTAATCACTTTTTCGCAGAGGAATACCGCATCTTAATGGTTGTACTGTACTGACCCTTTAGGGGGTACTTAACATGGCACAAATACACAGGGTAGTTTCTAATTTTTAAAATGTAACCCACAAGAGTGAAATGAAGGTACTGATACCCTCAGTAATAATAACATTATATCAGTAACATTAAAAATAATATCAGTAATTTCGGGCCCAATGGGCTCTTTTCACCTGAGGTCACACACCTGCCACTGTTCACAGACAATAATGGATGATGTTTATTGTGATGTGCCAAAAAGTGACTGTGAATGCATCGGTAGGTTTATACAGTATCTGCATTCAGGTGCTTTTGTCAGAATCAAACCATAATAAAATAGCATTGTTTGTAAGCTGTTTATTTTACAGTTACACCCAGTGTGACCTTTTAAAAAAAGTCAGTTCCACCTTAAATAAATTTAGTCACAAAATGCAACTGATTACTTGCAGTGGAGTGTTACTGAGCTGAGCTCGGAATGAAAACAGTGAAAGATTCCTACTGCTGTTTGTGAATTGTTTATAAGTGAGTCATTAGTTTGTTGATAACTTCATAAGGTAAAGACATTATAACTAATACAATATGGTGAAAAGAAATACAGTGGTTTGCACAGTAATTGGTAATAAAACTGAAAAAAAAAACGGACTTGAGGTCAAAGCCCCAGTATAAAATAGGGGCCTTATAATTATGTACTAAGGCAGGTGCCCCTATCATTTCAGTTTATTTGATGACTCATACCTTACTTTAAGTGACTCATACAGTATGCTAATTGTTCAACAAATTTGCAGTTAATGAAATTACAACAAACACTTGAGGCTGTAGCATTATGGCATTGTAGGATCTTGGGTCCCAGAAAACAAGTTGGAAGAGGAGTAGGGCTAGTGTATTTAAAAAAAAATTTAATAAAATAAAATAAACTATTCTTGACTTTAGATTCAGAATTGTGACTTTTTTTTCTCAGAATTCTGACATTTAGAGCAGTCAGCATTAATGTCAGAAATCTGAGATTAAAGTCAGAACTAATTGATATCTCTTTGGGTCTTTACTCACTGTTTTCGAACATTTCTGTGATGCATAATGTTTACAGTATATGTGTATTAATGAACCTGGAAACTAGAACTAGAAAACCTAAGACCTCTAGTTTGTGTGAACTAGAAAATGAGCAAAAGGTATTGTTTGTTTTTTGTTCTCCAGGTCATTTCCCAGACCATGACCACTTTCATCGGTTTTGTCAGCATTGTGTTCTGTGGTCATCTGGGAAAAACAGAACTAGCTGGAGTAGCATTAGCCACTGTGGTGAGGAGATTTTCTTGAGTCCTCTATGTTTTTATATTGGTCTTTGACCTTGCCAGTACTGACATTTGAGTTATCTTCATTATCTTTCCCTGAATTATGTGGGCTTTGCTTCATTTGCAGGTGGTTAACTGCACTTGTTTTTGCACTGGCTTTGGTCTGGCTTTAACTTGTGATACTCTCATATCTCAGGTAATGTCCTTAGCAGAGGTTCTTTTTTTGCTTTATTTATCTAACCAAGACAAGCACAGCCAGTACCGCTGGGTTCCCAGGTTGTCCTGGGGTCCCCTTAAAAACAACTCAGCAATGAGCTTTTGTATCAAGTTAGTTTTCTTTGATCAGTCATACCCTTGGTTATTGCTGTGATTAGGTGTTTTCCAGCTCTGCTTGTTAAGTATCTCTCTGCATGGTTTATGCAGACCTATGGGAGCGGTAACTTGAAGCGTGTGGGTGTGATTCTCCAGAGGGGGATTCTGATTCTACTGCTGGCCTGTTTCCCCTGCTGGGCTGTCCTCATCAACACTGAACCCATCCTACTTGCTATCAAACAGAGCCCAGAGGTCGCCAGGTCAGTCACCCACAGCATCTTTCACACTAGTGACATTAAAAACAGAAATGAATGCAATAATTTAGAAGTGTTAAATTAATTACTAATTTGAGGGCACTCCTGTATTAAACCTGCTTTAAATCAATAGTGTGGCCACTGGGGGGCAGTGGAAACAGGCTGTATACATGGCACTGACATACTGCAAGTCTCATATGAATTGCCGTTTCCTTGCGTCATAGTCCCTCCCACGTAACATGCAAGGAAAACATGAGGAGAGAGAGGACTTGAGGTAACATGTTATTAACAGCATTAAACGTCTTTTCCTCTTGTCCTTCATCTGAGGCCTCCAATCACTAATTGATTTCTGATAAAAGGGTATGTTGGTTCATATAACGCTTCCATGAAGGATGGCTCCTCCAGCAGCCTCCTCACTCCTCAGAACCAATATTTGAGACTTGGTCAACCCACACCGACTTCTAGGTCAACTGAGGACGTAGGAACAATCATGTAAGAGACTTGAGAAACATCCACTGTCCAGTGACGTGCGGTGAGGTTGACAGCTGGTGAGGTTGAGCAGCTAAACTAGCTAGCAGGGCGCTAGCACCTATGCTGTCAATTAGTGCCTACTCCAGGTCCCATACACCGCACGACTCTGGGTAGCACTTGGGCGTGTCCTTCATAATGACTACCATGCAACTCTGTCTTTCTGGTCATTTATTTAGAACACAGAACCGCTCCACACATCACATTCCCAACAGGGTCAGTTTTACACATACAGCTTAGACTTACGGTTCAACAACACAGCACTCAACCAGCTAGCAAAACATTAACACATACAAGTCATCAAGATAAACACAACAGGGTAACACATTAGAACATTTTAACACACTTTAACAACTGTTCTCTGAACTCATCATTGAACTCCCATGATGCCCCCCATGCATCATGTCGCTGCCACCAGACCCCTCCCCAATAGCCGACGTAGGTCGCCACACAACATTATCCAGATTATGGCAAGGCAGAGCATATAATCAGAGTGTTTGAAAGCATTTTATTTGCGATATATAGAGGGACAGCGACACACTATTTGCATCGCATACAGTTTTTGAGGATTACATGATCCACCGAGAGGCACAGCAAAGTGTTGCCTCATCGCGCATCTCCTCCATGTATTTGAACGGGACATACGGGAATTCTGCTGTTCTTTATTGAAAAAAATTCCTTCAACATCGGATTCGAACGGCAAAAGGGCCTACAACACACACCAGCCGACAAATATTAACATTTATTATATTTTATGGTTAACTTTTTTTTTCTTTTCAAGATTGACAGGGGAGGCTTTGCCTCACCTGCCTCCCCTGACCGCACGTCACTGCCACTGTCACATTTAAGTACAGATATGGCAAACTTATTATAACAGTTGCCTGTTAAGCAGGTATGGAGAAACATTAGCATTGATTTAGAATTGTGCTTTTGTCCACCTAATGGTGGAAGGTATAATTTTCACTCTGCTTTTAGTTCTGGTTTGGTCTCTACCAACTTCTGAGGGAAGTATCTGACTTTGGATGGCAACAAAAGTTTTAAAACTTTGTAAAAATGTTTTAGAAAAAGCGACAGCTTGGGAACAACTCATAAACATAACTGGCACAGTTAGATGCAGCCACGGTATCTTCGGTTTTGTATAAGATTGAGTAGTTTACAGGATGTCACTTTTGACTGATTTAGCAGCATGGCTCTAGCGACGGCAGCGCTGGTCAGTTCATCTCACTATTTTGGTTTAAAGTGGTCTTGACATTTGGGTCAGTGTTGCTGTGAACTTTAGTAAAGATGGATCCTAATGGCTCACAACCACCATGTCCATTTTATGCATACTTACATGTCTCAGTCCCACAGCTTCATATGCACACTGTTTTGCTTTGTCTTTCTGCTTGAAGTCTCTCTCAGCTGTATGTGAAGATCTTAATGCCCGCTGTGCCGGTAAGTTTGATATAATCTACAAACTGATGGCATAAACACATTTTTTTCCATGCTAGCAGAATGGCTCTAGGGATGGCAGTCACTCTGTCAGTCCACCATTTAAGTACTTAAGTCGAGACTGAAATATCTCACCAACCACTGGATGAGTTTCCATGAAAGTTTATACAGACAAACATGGTTCCTTCAGGGTGAATACTACTGACTTTGGTGATCCCCTAACTTTTCATCTTTTCACCACTCATGTTTTCCTTCTGCAGGCCTCTTTTATGTACCATCTACAAATGAAGTATCTTCAGAATCAGGTGATACTTTCTTTCACTGTCTCAATCTTTGTTGACACATAGCTAAAAGTATGAAAGTTCAAAACTAATACTGAGCCATGGTTGTGCTGTGGTTTACAGCAAATCATATGGCCTCAAGTGATAACTGGAGCGATAGGAAATGTTTTCAACATAATCATCAACTACATCTTTCTCTATCATATGGATCTTGGTGTTGCGTAAGTTACAATTTAATCATGATCAGTGTACTATAGCATTCAGTCCTGTCAGGAGAAACAATGACATGTTTTAACTTCTGCTTAACATGTTGAGTCACTGAATTAAAGTAAGCTGAGGTGTATTAAATGTTCTACATGCAGTACACTGAGTGCCCAGAAATCCTGTCCAGTGCAACTTTGCAACAATAAATATAATTATTATTTTGTCAATTTTAGTTTTGAAAGCTTCAGACTAGTCAGATGAGAATTATAGAAATTCACCCGGAGCTTCTGCATTTGTGCACTGGGTTACATTATAGAGAGTTTTCAGTTTATCATATCACTTTATTATTATACAGTATAGTAACATCGTTAAAAATGTATATCTCTAAGTGGATCTGCAGCAGCAGGTGCCATCTCTCAGTATTTGCTGGCTGTGACCTTATACATTTACATTTGCTGGAGGGGTCTGCACAAGTCCACATGGGGAGGTAAGCTGTCTCCTCATCTTTGACCACAACATGAGATCAATTACAGTCTGTTCTTGCCTTTTCTTTTTTTTTATGGGGTTGGTTCTATTAATTCTCCTACTCTATCTAATAACACTGGCCTGCAATTTTAAAAATGTTCTCTGGTTCTGAATTGAAATATTAATGCACATTTTTATGGTTTTTGAGGTGCCAAATTGAAATATGACTTTTAAAAGAGCTGATTGGCTATAGATTTTAAATATGCAGAAGACACACTGTCTATGCAAAACAGTGTTAAGCACTCTAATTAATCACCAAAGAAGCTTGTTGTATCAAAAGCAAATAGTTTAGTCTTTAGGTCCACCACGAGTTTTGGTTACAATTTCTGGTTTTGCTCAAATCTTCTGCTCTGTAATCTGACAAGTTCAATCATTTTCAAGCAAAATTCACTCAGTGACAGTGCCATGTCTTACAACCCAGGCCCTATTAAACTTTGATCCCATTTTATTACTTGTAAAACACACCTGCAGTCTAACATGAATTGAATAATCAAAACACAAATGAAATAAAAAGGTACTGTTATATTCTATGTACTTGATTAATGTCAGGACCTCTGACCCACAGGTTGGTCACTTGACTGTCTGCAGGAGTGGGGACCCTTTGTCCAGCTGGCCATTCCCAGTATGTTCATGTTTTGTCTGGAGTGCTGGATGATAGAGCTGGGAGGACTCCTTGCTGGTCTGATTAGTGAGGCTGAGCTAGGAGCTCAGTCGATAATTTTTCAGCTCTGTATTTTAACATACATGGTAATTAAAAATATTGATTCTTTTTGTGTGTATGGGCCACTGCTCCAATAAAATTACAGTGAAGGAAAGGTAGCTTTAATACACTTTTAGGTGTTACTTATCTATTTTTCACACAGCACCCTGCAGGATTCGCTGCTGCTGCCAGTGTCCGGATTGGGAATGCTCTTGGTGCAGGAAACAGAGAGCAGGCCAAACTATCATGCAAAGTCCCCATCACCTGTGCATGTAAGAGCCAATACATACAATACATGCTGTCTGCATTACATCTACACAGTCTTTACCTCTTTGGTGGTGGAAGAATAGCAGGTTTTATATGTTCACTTTTCAATAGCTTATTTCATGTTAAGTTGTATTTCATGAAGCCACATATCATATTTTTATTTCATAATGTCACTTCACGTCAGTGGTGTTCTAAACAATTTACATGCCCCCTGGCCATCGATGTTTTAATACCATGCCCCTGCCTGTTGTGCTAGCAATTGCTATCACATTTAGCCATTAACACCTGTTAGCTACAGCAACAACAGTTCCAGAGCCATTCTGAATCAACTGCTTGTTGCAGTAATTAAACACTATAGAGACACAAAAGCTAACATTTTCTTTTATGTTTAAAGCTGTGTAAGACTCCATATGTAACTTAACTAGCTGGTTAACCAGGCTGTGCACTTGGTTATTTGCTCTGAATCAAGGTGAGGAGACTGTGTTAATATCCACAGCAGATGTTAGCTGGTCAAGAATGATCTCAGCTGCATTGTGATTCTAACAGTGTTCCTCAGAGAAAGACACAACTCTGATAGCTCACAAATTAGCTACAGTGCTATATTTAAGCCTTAAAAGCTAAAAGGCTCAGTTATTGTATCAAACTACTATGTTTATTTACAGCAGCACCCCTAGGTGGTTGATTCAGACTAACTAAAGGAGCTAACTGACTAAATTACGGGGCAGTTATTATTAGATCCTAAGAGTCAGGAATAGGCAGAAGTAACTGGTTAGGGTAATGTTGGGGGTTATGTTAAGCATCCTAAGACTCTAGCGTTAGGGCAGAGATTAGTTCAATTCTTAATTTCACTTCCACATTCATTTTAATATGTAAAGTGTTTAAAACAGACTATCCATTCATTATTCAGCTTCTTTAATATTCTTTGTTTCTTTTTCTTGTTGCAGTCATAATTTCATGTTTTGTTGGAGCTAGTTTGATCTTCACCAGAAATGTCATTGGACACATTTTCACCTCAGAGCAGTGAGTAAAGTCTCTGACACGACAGTCTTCACTTTCTTGCACTGGCAGAATTATAAGGTTGATTTATTGCAGTCTGTGTTCAATAGTAGGCTCAGTTCAGACTGTTGTACATTCACTAAGGTAATCATCTTCATGCTGACTCACAAACACTGAACTCATGATTAATGATGCTAAAAATCAACAATGCTTTGCCAGCTGTTGATTTTATTTTTGCAGACTGCTTCTAACATAAGGTATCTGTTGCCTAGTTTGTTCCATTTCAGTTAATATAAGCAAACCTATTTAACATGAGATGATGACATAAGGTGAGCAAACATTTTCCAGTTTAAAGCCACATAAATCATTCCTTAACCATGATGGTAGTCTGGAAAACCTTCAACAGAAACAGAAGGTTTAATGTCTGTAAGTTTAGAAGATACCTGAAGTGGCATGAAGGTTATTATTAGCTGTGTATGCTCTGAAGGGGTATAGCACAACCCTTGCAATCCTGTAGGCTTTTTATTATTACTCTTCTATTTTACTTTTCTTTCACCAAAAGTTCATTGGACTACTACTCCTACACCAAATTCACTACCAAAAATAACATTTTTTCATGTGTGTTTCAATATCTAAACAAATATTAAACATAATAATATTAAACTTGGTACAACCCAAATCAGAAAAAGTTGGGAGCATTATGTAAAATCTAAATTAAAACTGAAAGTAGTGATTTGTAAATCATCTGTGTCCTGTATGACATTGAAAACAACACAGCAGCACATTATTTGATGTGATACCTCATCAGTTTTATTCTTTGCTCAAAATAAACTCCAATTCTGATGCTGAAACACATTCCAAAAAAAAGTTGGGACAGTAAAGCATTTATCACTGTGGTATGTTGCCATTTTAACAACACTTAAAAGACGTTTAGGGACTGAGGACACCAAGTGATGAAGTGTCTGGTGTCATTTTGTCCCATTCTTCCTGCAAATAAGTCTTAAGGTGCACAACAGTCCTGAATTGTAGTTGATGCAATTTTTTTGATGCACCACACATTCTCTACTGGGGACAGGTCAGGACTGCAGGCAGGCCAGTCCAGCACTCACACCCTTTTCCTCCACAGCCAGACCTTGGTAATGTACAGTATGGGGTTTGCATTGTCTTGTTGAAAGATGCATGTGCATCCCTGGAAAAGATGTCATCTTGAAGGCAGCATATGTTGCTCCAAAATCTCTGTATTTCAGCATTAATGATGCTGTGAAGGCCTCAGCCCTGGCCTTCAGCATGTGAGGTCCTAAGCCACCACCACCAGTGGAATTAGTTAGGTAATGTTCTTTTGTTTTCTTTGTCCATGTGTGTAGATTTAAGTCGTAGGTAGATTTTAGGCACTTGATTTGACATTTGCTTTAGACATACACAATTAATCAATGAAGCATGTACATTTGGTTAATTTTGCATTGTTAATATGTGCAAACTTTCTTTTTGAGTTACCGTGTTATTTGTCCAGATGAAAAGATTGCACTGTGGCAGCAGCAGGTTTAAATACTGTACCTCACACTAGACCAGGACTGCACCAAATCTATAATACAGGAAAGGGGGGGAAGTTTAAATCAAATCAAATTTTATTTGTATAGCGCCAAATCACAACAAAAGTCATCTCAGGACACTTTACAAAGTAAAAGGTCTAGACCTTACTGTTATCACTATTATTACATAGGGAAAACCCAACAAATCCCCCTTGAGCAGCACTTGGCGACAGTGGGGAGGAAAAACTCCCTTTAACAGAAGAAACCTCTGACAGACCCCGGCTCTTGGTGGGTGGCCTTCTGCCTGGACCGGTTGGGGTGAGTGGATAGAGGAGAGACAAAAGAAGAAAAAGCAACAAGACACAACAATCAAACATAGGTCAGGTTGATGTGACCGGTGACTGCCCATCAGAAACATAGAGCTAGGGCAGCCTGCAGAAAGTACAGGGAGAGAGAGAGGAGACACAAAGTTAGTAATGTGTAGTGGTGGCATATAGAAGCATGGAGAGAGAGGAGAGGAGAGGGGCACGGGAGAGAAATTCAGAGCATCATGGGGCCCCCCAGCAGCCTAGGCCTATAGCAGCATAACTAAGGGAAGGCTCAGGGTCACCTGATCCAGCCCTAACTATAAGCTTT